CACCCTAGGTGTCATACCCGCCTGGCAGGGGGAGACGACTTCATGTACTTCCCCATCCCCACGACTTGATTAGTTTGGGTGTAGGGGAGTGGTAGGGTGGCCATGGGTCGGATCAACCAGCCTGGAGGGCAGGATCCGGCTTGTGGACTTTTTTTTTGCCTACCCCTGCTACAGAGACTCCATTTCAGGTATCAGTGTGTACCTATGTGCCTCAGATCAGAGATTTTTGTTAGCAGTGGCCACATCTGTGCTTGCATTCTGTACACCCTGTGCTTTGATCTGAGGGCAGATAAGGCATATGGATTCACCGCTGCACCAGTTCCTTCACCACTATGAAATCTGGCCTAATGCTGGGAGTCCAAATTAAGAAGGAGGAAGATGGAGCACTTATAGGGACAAAATATTTTGTAGAACTCAAGTTACTGCTGAAGTAAGTAACTTCTCCTTCTTTCGGTAACTGTCTCTATGAGAGTTCCACTACAGGTGGGACTCCTGCAGTGCCCAGACTACTGGGGTTGGTGTTGAGAAGACTTCTTTAGCCCAGATTGGAGAACAGTCACACTCAAGTCACACTGCATCACACTTGGAAACATATACAGCTTTTGTGCTACAGTCTTTAGTTTTCACTATTTATTGATCTTTTGCAAAAAATCCCTGTATGTTTTACACATTTTCACTCCTGGGAAAAGGAGTAACTGGATGATCAGGGGGCTGTCTTCGATGGAGGCATTTTTGAGCAAAGCCACAGAGTAAACTGTGCTCTAGTAGAATGGGCTGTCACCTTTAAGGAAGGATATACTGTAGAGAGTTTATAACAGAACACAATGCATCCAGAAACCCCCATGGACAGTCTTTGGGTAGTAACAGAAATTCCGCTCATTCTGTCTACAAAGGAAATAAAGAATCTAGGAGAGACTCTGAAGGATCTAGTTCTTTCTGGGGAGAATACTAGTGTTCTAACACTCAGAATGTGTAGACTAGCTTTCACCCTAGGGTTGTGCACTTTAGGGTTAAAAAGACAGATAACTGAATGTCCTGGTTAATGTAGATGTATAGTGGCCTTTTATAATTTCATTTACATCTGGAGGCTGAAGTGAAATTTGAGAGACATTAGAACATAAACCCCTATATGCTGCTGAAGCAGTTTACTGTAGTATGTTCACCTATGTAAATATGACACACAATCAAAAATCAATCCCAAGATGGTGAGACTGCCTGCACTGAATAAAGTGACACTGGTACTTTCCGTAAAATTTGAGTAATAGTTAATACATGTTTTTATTTTTTGTACAAAAAAGGGCTGTAACCAGATGCATGGCTGTCATGAGGATTGGGATGCAATCCAGATCACTAAGGGATTATGTCACCTGTCACCCTGTAACACGGAGTGCCTCACAGTGCTTTAGTACTGTAGCTCCCAGCCTGGGATGCTGAGTCAGCAACAAGCAAGCTATTTGAGTAATAGTTAATACATGTTTTTATTTTTTGTACAAAAAAGGGCTGTAACCAGATGCATGGCTGTCATGAGGATTGGGATGCAATCCAGATCACTAAGGGATTATGTCACCTGTCACCCTGTAACACGGAGTGCCTCACAGTGCTTTAGTACTGTAGCTCCCAGCCTGGGATGCTGAGTCAGCAACAAGCAAGCTTGCAGCAGCTCTGGCCCCAGCCTCACAGCTGCACTCTGCCTTCCACCAGCTTTGGTTACAACCAACCAGGTGATCCCAACATACTCCTAGATCCAAGTTTTCCCAAAACCGTGTGCTCTGCAATATCCAGCCCCCACCTGGGAAGTTCAGAGAAATAATGTTTGTTAGAGACACAAAAGCACAATAACCCAACTAGGCTCAAAAGAGACTTGCAGTCTAGACGTAAAGAGGCTTTTTCGAAAGATACTTTCGAAAAAGCCTCTTTCGAAAAAGAGTGTCTAGACTGCAAGCAGTACTTTCGAAAAAGCAAGCCACTTTTTCGAAAGAAAGCACCCAGGCAGTCTGGATGCTCTCTTTCGAAAAAGCCCTGTTTGCATTCAAGAATGCCTTTTTTCGAAAGAGCACTTTCGAAAAAAGGCGTTCTTCCTCGTGAAATGAGGTTTTCCGCCGTCAAAAGAAAAGCCACGTTCTTTCGATTTAATTTCGAAAGAACGCAGCTGTAGTCTAGACGCAGGTGAAGTTTTTTCGAAAAAAGGCTACTTTTTTCGAAAAAACCCTTGAGTCTGGACACAGCCCTAGAGTAAATGCACCCTTCTCTGCAAACACAGCACTGAGCTGGTGAATAGTATAAATAAAACACATTTATTAACAATAAGACATAGGTTAAGTGACACCAAGTACAAGGAATAAAATTAGAAAGGGTAACAAGCAAATAAAAGTGAAAACATGCATCTGAAAGTCTAAAATTAGCAATTGATAGGCTTTGTTCAAGATGGCTTTCCTCACAAATTTACCCTCGTCCAGAGGGATTTGCAGAGACTCAACTATCCTTTTCATGAAAATATCTGAAGTTGTCTGCATAGGAGAGGGAACAGGCAGCATTACAGCTCCATATGGAGAGAAAGGAGGTTTATCAGGGGATGATGCAGCTTCCCAATCAGCCCTTTGCTTTTGCTCCCCAAAGGGTTCCTCCTGACAAAAGGTAAACTGAGAATGGTCCTGTGAAGCAGGCAGCTCTCTCTCCTATAGAAGTATAGTATGCACTCTGTAGTACTGGCCTTCCCATATATGGCTCAGGGATTCCAGAAGAACTCTTCTGATGGGTCAAATGGAAACGGTTGAGGACCCCAAGGATGGTCATACCAAGAGGGATGTTTAGGGGCTTACATATGCCTGGATCCTGATGAAAATATTTCAGAACAGACTTCTGAGGAGGGAGAGCTTACCAGGCAGATGATGGAACCCTTTGATTTCTGGAGTCAGAAGAGAAGTGTTTCCCTCTATTGAAGGCAGGATCTGGTCTCAGTGGTACCAGAGAGTGCTCTGGAGAAGACGGTAGGCCCCTATGATTTCCTTTGGTATCATCAGAAGGGAAGACCGGGGCTCCTCAGAGAGTAGGAGAGTCTTTAGGAACAGGTGTTTGCTCAGTACAGAGGAGGCAAGACACTGTAGAACTGAGGATGTTGTATCTGAAGCTACCAGAACCGAAGATAGCAAAGGTTCATGATTGGTATGTGACCTGCTGGAGGGGCAGGGACTGGGGCAGCTGGTGCCAGTGCTAATTTCTTTGAAGTGGCAGAGCTCTTTTGCTTGGATGGTTATGAGCCAGGTACTTCCATCAGTACCAAATAGGGCTGCATACCAAGAAAGTTTTCAGTGCAAGTAGCAGTAGAATTCTTTTTAGTTGATGCAGGAATCTTAGTACAGGAGGGTCTAGAAGCCTAAACTATACCTATAGTGGGACGAAATATCTCAATTTCTGAGGCAAGGTTAGGGACGAAATATCTCAATTTCTGAGGCAAAGTAACCCCTTTCTTTAATGACTATTAACAGACTAAGGTCTTGAATTTTTGAAGCCTCTGAGCTAGTCTCTGGAGCAGTCTCATGGTTCCTACGCCATAGACACAGCCATAGAAGTTGAAGGCGAACTTTGGTTGGCTGTCCCTGATGTTGGGGGGCCCTCAGTTGGAAGAATATTGCACAAAATGTACCATGGGAAGCAACTTAAGTCTAGCCTCCATTTGATTCCTGTGTCCGCTTTCAAATCCGATGACGATCTTGTGCTTCGACAGTATGTGTCCCTCCACCAGATGTGAAGATAGCTGGAGTGACCAATGTTGAGGGGGAAAAAGACCTTCTACAGGTCTAACAGTTTTAGAACCCTGACTTTGGTGAAAAACAAAAATAAAAAGGGCAGGGAAAAGGGAAGAAAAGAACACACAAAAAGTGAGCAAGGCAGGTTAAAAAATAAAACAAAACCTTCAAGTTAAAGTGAAGAAAGTTAGCTAGGACTAGGAGTCCGTATTAATTCATAGATACTGTAGAGTCCTGTCTCATGCCATGAGCAGCTGAGATATAAGCAGAGCAGTGGCAGGCCCAGCCTGCCTTATCCATCTTCAAATTAGAACACAAGAACATACAACACACATGCATGGACCACAGCAACACTCCTACCAAAAGTCTCTGATCAGAAGCACACATGCACATCTGAAACAAAGAGTAGCCACAGAGACAATTACTCAGAGAAAAAGCTAATTTTGGTCTGGGAAGTTTGAGGAGCAATAAAGAAGCCCAAACTTTAGATAACAATTGGGTTAAACAAAAAATACAAGGAAAGGAGATGGTGTACAGGAAATCATATCTTTTAGCACAGGATCTCAAACTCCTGGCTCACAGGCAATCTATGGGCCAGAGAATATTAAGGATGTAAAATCCTGTTTAACTGGTTAACCAGTTAAACGTTATGTTTTAACTGGTTAACTGATTAAAGCAGAAATAGGCAGGGAGAGCAGGGGGCTAGTCTGGAGCAGCCCCCCTGCTACAGACAACAGCTGTTCCAGCTGGCCAGAGCAGCCCCTGTCTGTGGCTGGGACCCATGGGTGGAGGTGCAGAGCTGCTTCAGCCCCTACCAGTTAACCATTCACATCCCTAAAACATATTCACAATCTGGCCCAGGAGACATGATGGCCCAGGGAGGTGTGATCCTCCAGGCCCCAACCCTTCCTGCCATCACCACTTCCCCCATATGGCACAATAACCCAACTAGAGTAAATGCACCCTTCTCTGCGCAAGGGACTCGGCCTCAGGGATTACTACGGGCCCTGGTGTGGGGCGGCATCAGTGGTTGGGCCTTCCCCCAGCAAGTGGCTTCCCTCTGGTTCCTGCTGCCATGGGAGGGAGAGAAGCAAGCGGCGACCACCGCTATCACACTGCACCAGACCCACATTACCAAGGTTGGGTCCCTCCGGGGATGGGGTGCCATGGGGAGTGGGGCACTGGCAGGAAGGAGTGGGGCTTGGGGAAATGGGTTTGCCCCTGCCTGCCCTGCCCTTAGCTGCCAGGTTTCCCAGTCTGGACTGCAAATATGTTTTGGCCCATAAATGACCCACTGGCCAGGAGTTTGGGAACCTTATTTTAGCATCAAAATGCCAATCATCTATCATGTTACTTCGGTACATTTTTTTTTATTAAATCAGGGTCATCTGCCTGAGTCATTAATGATCAGATACACCTCTGGCAAGAAATGGTATAATGCTTGATCCTTGCCTCTTAACAGGAGTAGGGTACAACAAATGGGAGATGAGATTCAAGCACATTCACCATGCTTTTGGGCCAAAACTTGGTTCAGACAACAATCCAGAATTTTCAGAAAGGACGCTCTTTTAAACAATACCAGGGCTAGCTTATCCCAGGGACAGAATGTACTGCCTCCCCTTACGCTGAGAGTTAGGTGGTCACCTTGAAAGGAAATGGTTACAGATTAACTGCCAAGAAACATAGGAGTTGCCATACTGAATCAGATCCAGTACACCGTTTCAAAATGTGGCCAGGTGCAGGTAATTCAGATGAAGGTACAAGAAAACTCCAATAGGCAGTTACTGGATAACATGCCCTTGGAAAAGTTTCTTCCTACCTCCGATAGGGACTGGCTTATGTGCTGAAGAGCATAAATGTTTATATCCAAATGCCTATTTTGTTTTCATACTATAACAATTCTAGACAGTCTCATTATCTGTATAAATTTTCCGATAATTTTAAAAAAATCCTGCTAAGCTCTTGTTTTTGGTGGTAACTCGGGACAATGAATTCTATGAGCTGATTGTGCATTGGATGAAAAAGTATTTATATCAGTTTTATGAGAATTGGTTCAATAGAAGATATTACCTCTCCCATCAGGTCCCTTTATTTTACTCCCTTAATCATTCAACCTAGATTTCTATGTAAATAACTACATTTCCTCTTGGACTTTAACAAAGTGCCCTGACAGACTCTGGAGAGTTATTTGACATCTCAGTTTTCATAACAAAAGCTTGCAGACACTGAGGGACTTTGCTTGGGAAGAACTATAAACATCTGAAATGTCTCCAGAGAACTCTTTAGAGCGCTTTTCAGCAGTGGTGATTGAACAAAATGCTGCTCAAAAGAGGCTGAACTGCAAGTGTTTCTTTAAAAACCAATGGAGCAGAAAATAGCTGTTGCTCAGTTCACGTTTTCTTTTACCCTCCTTTAGCTAAACTCTCCCACATTATGACCATGCATTTTATCCTCCATAATGGACCTTCAGCAGTTTTTCAGACTGAAGTACTTCCAGTGCAGAAAGCATAAGAACTTATATTTATCAGAGATGCCCACTTATTCTTTTATTCAGCATTTTAATCCCCATAACATATCAAGTGATACTTTAAAAACCTGAATCTTCCAAGTACTTCAGCAAATTGTTTAACTATCCCTTGTATGTTGTTGAATCAGTGAGATTACTCATGTGAGTAAAGTTAAGTCTGGTCATACAAGTGATCACAGAATTGGAGTCCAATGCATTGTTTTATCCTCATGTCCATGAGGCAGTATTTGTGACCAGCCACTGCTGCAGCAAAAGTCCAGGTATGAATGGAGAAAAGACCCAGTGATTTGTTTCTTCTTGCTAGAAGCAGTAGGAAGGAAAAATGAATGTAGGCTTACTTGAATTTATTCTATGGGTAACTAAAGTAGACAATTTGGCCCACATTATGCATCTTGTTTTTTATAATCTTGTTCTTAGCAACAATGACAAATTCCAAACACAGGTTGAACCTCTCTAGTCCGGCACTCTCTGGTCTGGCAACATCCCTGGTGTGGCATGATTTTAGTTAACTGGATGTCCACTTATCATGGGTGTTGTCAAGTTTCCCCGCAGTACTATAAAGTTTGTTTATAGCCACCAGTCCTAGTTCTCTAGCTCTAATTGACTCCTGAAGGTCTTCTAAGAGCCCAGTAAGCAATGGAAGTGTTGGTCATGCTGCTAGACAATGACCTCCGATGCTTTGGCAAATTCTCTGATTCGGCACCAGTCAGGTCCCCAAGGTGCTGGACTAGAAAGATTCAACCTGTACTGTGATGCGTCTATTACAAAGGCACATGGTTGTAGTACACCAGAATCCATGCCCATTTCAGCAATCCAATGACTTCAGCCAGGCTGATGGGAGTCTTATGAATTTAGCATTACAGGCAGACTAAAAATTCTACATTTCTGTAAACCTAGAGCATTTGCATGCCATGTTTTTGGGATACACTTCTGCAACTCTAGCATATATGAAAAGCAGCTCTTCCCTAAGCACACTTGCCAAAAGAAAGTATGGCATTCATCAGGATTTCTTTTTAAAAACTAGCAATTATAGAAATTAAACGAAAAAAATAAAACCCTATATACCACCTTCATCACCATAAAAAAGTTCAGTCTCTACAACTACCAGCTTTTTAATTTAAACTTATTTTTTGAACATTTTAGCCAAAATTAAGGGTTCAAATGGAACTGACAATCTACTCACTAAGCAATTATTCCTTTGCTAATATAAATGCTACAAGAAAGTATTTGTTAAAATTCTTGTGTCGCACTGAATGGCCAACAGCAAAGATAACTCCAAAAGTCAATATCCTGAAACATGGCTAAGTCACTCACAATAAGCAAGTGCTACCATTCCCTCTTCTTGCTGGTGTTCAAGGGCATGGAGCCTGTGTTGGGTCTGTATTGTGTCAGTGAAGAGGAACATTTAGAAACATTACTGCCCCCCTTTTTGGTGTCTCTACTGCCATCTTCCGCATGCTCCTGAGAGTCAGGTTCACTGAGGCCATAAGGAGATATTAAGGATCACTGGCTCCGTGGTAGGGAATTAACATGGTTCTTAGCTCTGTCCTCTAGCCTCTCTCTTGCAATCAGGAGCAGAGTGGGCCAAGCTTGACTTTCCTCTCTGCTCAGGGAGCTGGCAGCAACCAACATTAATCACACCCCATAACCTCATTTGCCCTGCTGTAGGGTGCACCGACGAAGTGACAGATTTCAAAAGCCCATGTTTAACAGGAGATGACAGAGCAGTAGTATCTCTAAAGGACTCACTGTCATCCTCCTGAGACCATTGGCCTAGTTCTTAAAAATATATAAATACTCATAGTGACCTGAGCACAGTCAGTGGAGCAAGGAAGGGATGGGGCTGCCTTGCCAGTTGCCAGGAAACCTGATGTAACACACATTGACCTACTAAAGAAGCAGGGCAAATCTTCACTGGGATTCCTTTGATTCAAGTCCATGAGGGTCTACATTAGATGTTATTTACTCATTCAGCACAAAGCCCTGAAAAGACCAACACTTACCTGAAAGTTTTGACAAGGTTTTTCAGCTCCGTGTAAACATCACCCAGTGTAATCTGAAGAGGGCCCAAAACTGCAGGCAATCTGGAAACAAAAGGATATTAGGTTATTTTAAAGTTTTTTTCTTTCTTTATGCAACCATTTGCTCCTCAAATAGGGCATTATCCAAAGCTCACTGAAATCACTAGAAAGATATGTATTGACATTAGTCCAGCCACATAGACATTACTGTAATATCACTGCATTTTACAGTAGCTATTGTAGAAGAGCATAATAGGATTAGACTATGGATATATTCGCTGCTTAGCAAGTTACGTTATTAATTAGCTTCAAATCTCAGTTATGGTAAGTCATTCTTACAAAAGCAATTAGGCTTACAATATGGATGACTGCAATTGTAAGTATCAAAACTTTTTCAAATTTGCAATATTTAGATTTCTTTGGAAGTGAAATAATTTAAATGTTCTTAAGTCTCCACAGAGAAGAGAACACACACACTCAAAATGTACCTACTTAAGAGAGAAATGGTATTTGTACTCCCCTTAAAAAATTAGCACCCAGCTCATATCTATTTAATTGATTTCGTTGCTAAATGAGTAATATTCCTACCCACGTAATTTTATTTGAGTTCAACAGCAGTAGTTAGAGGAAACTACACAACTAAATTAGCATCAAGGTGCAGATAACATACCTAGGAGATTTAATATTATAGAGGCATATTAGTAGCTGAAAGCCCATATCACATACAGAGCACAAAGACAATATTCACCTTTTGCTACAAGTAAGAGAAGGTTTGACACAAATGTGAGAAACTTATGAGAAAATGAGACCATGGATTTATTATGTAATAATACCGCTTCAAATGACATTTTTGGTAGCTGTAATGACATTAACTCTGTCAGAAACACCAGGAAATTCTCTTAGGATCACTGGTTAATATTAATCAATTTTGTTCACACACTTCTGATCAATTTTTATGTCTGTCGCTTCTACTAAAATACATGAGATGGAGTGGTAAATGCTAGTGGAACCTTTAAAAAAATAGGTGGGGGATCTGGGAGAAGGTAGCTTGCCTCAGCAATACAGATTAGGGATGTAGTCAACTAGTGACTCGACTAGTTGCTCCTCTCCCCCTCTATCAGAGAGAGGCAGCAAGCAGGGGGAAGCAGGAGCCAGCGCTGGGGGAGTCGGCTTAAAAGCTATTACATGCCTAATATGAAGCACTGATTAATGAGCGGGACACCCACGTTCTGTGCTAATTTGAGCTGGAGATTTAATTTAGACAGAAGCACTTAAAGAGTAAGAGGGATACTCACACTTTTCTCAATTTTTCCAGTACAATCTGCTTTCGAATCTGCTTTTGGGCATGAGAATCTACAAGTGGAAGAATGGGATCACCCTGCTGGTCATCCTATATTACAATACCAAAACATAATAAAAACATGGTAGAAATCTGAATTTTAAAGTCAATACATCAAAGCAATATTGTGGCTAATTATTGATGTGTGTTTTCCCTATGGTTAAATTTTGTTTGTTTCTAAACAGAAAAAAAATGGCACAAGTATTTACATACTTGAAAGTAACAGGGACTCCAAACCTAAAGGGCTAGATTTTCTAAATAAACATCTGGCTTCAGAATAGTGGAAGCTGTAGTTGGACAAGAGTGGTTAGGAATTGTATGAGCTTCTGAAAAACTGAACTGCTATTTAAATTGGGCCTTAAAAATAATGTGCTTACTTTTGAGGACTTCCATGTTAAGCCAAGCCTGCCTATATTACTAATTAATTTTGTTCCTTTCTTCAGAAGCTATTATGAGGGGTATCTTAAAACTAATGGGGGGAGGAGACCTATAGTGATATTACCTAAGACAGATAACCGCTTTCATTTTAAGCACACTATAGTAACTTTATTTAATGAAAATAAGTGTTCATAAAATTACGCCTTCTCACATAGATAACTTCCTAAAAGTTAAAGAAACTCAGAAATATGTACATAAACACAAAATGTGTAACCCAATTAGCCAGAATAGTGTCTCCATATGATGGAGACAAAAGGAACCGGATGTTTAGAGCTGGCCAATTGGACTTGGAAAAGGAGAAACCTCATATATTATGCATTTCTTGGTGCCTATAAATCCTCCTACCAGAAGACAGACAGGAAGAAACGCACAGCTGTGTGACATGCAGCCTTCATACCTAGAAAGTTCTCAAAGCTATATGGTTCCTTGAAATATAAAAGGAAATCTCTGTGATCCTAAAGGAGATTCAGAGGGAAGCAGTTGCTCCAGGACTCAGAGCAGGGATGTTGGTTCTGTCTGGCCCTCATGCAGACAGAACCATCCACCTCATCCACCTTCTTCCACTCTTTCTTCCCTCTATGCATTTATACAATGGCCAGATTATATTAATCTAATCTTTAACATTCTTACATTAGTTCAGTTTAGCAATGCTTCCTTTCTGTGCTTTAAGTTAAAGCACACAAGCAGCTGACTAGCCCAGGGTATTCTGTAATTTGACAAGAAGCTACTGAAAATGAACATGAGAATTAATTACATGAGCCAGCCAAAACCTAGGCAATTGCTCAGGAGCGGACCATCCTTAACCATTGTTGTTATTACTTGCTGAAAGCCTGTTCTGTCACACAGGAATAATTCATAAAGTCGTGTGCCTCCATTTAACAGTACATATGGGAACAGATGGCAAATCCAAGTGATGACAAACTGGTGATATTCTAGAGAAAAAAAGCTTTCAGCCATGCTTGTAGTGGTTTCCACTGTTTCACACTGGTGAGCCTGGGATGTTAAATTCATAACTCTGCTAGACACTAAAAACCATGGATTCAATAGAGACACTGGATTTACGGTGGATATTACAACAATCAGTAACATACTAACCCTTGTCTTTTGTCCTATGACAGCAGAGGTTTCAATGGGCCACTCTGCCTGGAACAGCCCCATAGAATATGTGCTAACTACTTATGCCTAACAATCTGTTCCACTATGGAATTAATTGTGATGATTGGTTTACCTTCCCTAGACCTGAAGAAGAGCTCTCTGTGGCTAAACAGAAAGTCTCTCTCACCAACAGAAGTTGGTCTAAATAAAAGAGGTGTCTAATACAGAAGATGACAATGCTGAAATTTTATTATATAAACTATTATCAACATTCATGTTTTGGTAGCACCTAGAGGCCATGTACATCAGTACCCCACTAAATTAAGTACTGTATAAACATATGAAACTCAACAGCTTACAACAGTATTTTTAAATAGCAGATTTAACACCCCAGTTTTCCAGGATACTTACTTTAACACTGCTAGGATGCTCCACTTCTTTCACCTGTGTTGTTGCTTCTTCAGCCAAGAGGCACTTTCCTTTATAGAATTCCTTTACTCTTAGTCCTAATAGTTCTGTTTCTTCTTTTAGCTTTCCATAGCTAGGCAAAGGTTTAGCTATTGCACCTAAGCCCCCAAAAGGCAAAGACTGGTTCAAACTGAGTTTAGATTCCCTTGCAACAGCTGCATCATCATAAAAGTCATCTGCTGTTTCTAAGTCATCCTCATCAAGTTCTTCTCTCTCACATTTAACAGCTGATGTGTGTTCCAGTAAGTGTAGAGCAGTATAATTGGAACCACAGAGAAATTTTAAAGTTTCTTCAGTCCTCCATTCAATAAAAGTCTGCTTAAGCACATCCAACAAATTACGTGTAGCAGCAAGAGAATCAATCGGTGCATTCAATTCAGGTTTGATATGTTTTGATTTAGCAAGTATTTTTTTCAGTTGTTCTGCCCCCTTTTTGCTCACACCTAGCAAAACTACTTGTGAACCACTACAGCTATTATCACAGTTTTCTGTATTTTCTAAATTTGCAGACATTATAGTGTCTGAAGAAATGTCAGTTACTTTATTTTGAATGCTAACAGGACTAATACTCTTTTTTTCCTTGATATCTAATTTGCACTCACTTAATTGTTTGGTGACATTTATCACCCTATGGTCTCCATCTCTATGCATGGAATTTATATTCTGACCATGTTTGTTTGTGAGTATATTCTTTTTGTGCAATGGTTGCACCTGAGTGGTTACATTTAATTGGCTTCCTGGTAGAATAGATGAAACAAATTCTTGCTCAGTATCACTACTGCTGTCACTGTATGTACCATGGGAACCAGAGTCACATTGGCTTGTTGATGTCTTAGGATTTTCAATATCTGAGACTTTAATGACTTCATCATGAAGTTTTACTTCTTCCCCAGACTGGCCACTGTAACAGAAGAAACTGACTGTCATTAAAATACAGGACAGACTTCGGTTGAAATAGCTTTTGCAAATTGAACAATTTGGATTAGCATTAGGGATGTAAACAGGTACATGCCTAGAGGTAACTGGTTAATGGTATGTGGCTGGGCCAGTGCAGCCCCCCCCCTCCTGTGTTTGCACTGCGGGCTGCTTCACATAGTTTAACCAGTTTACATCCCTAATTAGCATATATTTAAAAAATGAATTAATTTTGTTCTAGCAAAGGTGTATTATTTCACTTAACATATAATAATTAGACCCTTAATAAGGGATCTACATAAGATTTGTTTGCTAAGAACATTTTTTTCAAATTTAAAGAGCTGTAGTGTTTAGTAATCAATAGACTATGACAGATATTATACAGTGGACATCTTATTTCGAAAACAAGGGCTAAGGAGGAAAAAGAAAAAACAAAATATATTTGCTTTGACACAATTTAGAAGAAAAAACAGCAAAAGGTCAGACTTACACTGCCAAATTTTACACCTTAAAATTCTAGAGTGCACACAGGCATCTTAGGACATTTTTCCATTACATGAATAAAATACAGTGTGCTGATCAAGAAAGAGGGGCTAGTCGATTATTTGTTTTTGCAGGAGTATGCAAATTTTGCCCCCTAATGGCCAAATTCTGTAGAGGAAAACATGAAAAAAAATCACAATTTACAGAACTGACAAAGAGGTGGAAGCAAACAAAGAGTTGTTGGATATTTTGCAGATATAAATGTTTTATACTAAGACGTAGCTTAGTCTAGCTTTCACCACATATAATTGGTATCATTTAGCTTATGAAGAATCAATGGTACAAAATATGCAGAGTACAAACATTATATTTGTGTCAGGTTTCAACAGGTTCAATTAAGAGCTATAGGCTATGAGCAGCTGTACACTAAATCATACAGATCAAATATTCTCTTTAGCATCACAAAGGAAAGCTGAACAAGGCAAATATTCTGTGTGTAGTCTGCAATAATGGTACCTTATATAAAACAGCAACACAGGAAATCAAAGACTTTCCTTTCACCTGGTCTACTATTAACGTTTCCAACTCTGAATATATGAAATGAAAGAATCATTGATTCAACTGTACCTTTGTCCTTTTTTCAGCAGTTCTATGTCTGGTGGTCTGCAAAAAAAGAAAAAGATTAAGAATTTAATAAAAGGAATGTCAGAAGTGTTTTTGAAACATCTTTTTTGAAGTTTTCCAACAACTGATAATGAAAATTGAACTGGAGCTATTCTGTACTGCAGTGGTCACCAACCAGTCGATCGGGATCTACTAGTAGATTTTGGAGCCTCTAGCAGGTGATCTTGACTGGTTTGGCCAAGAGGCTGTCAAATGCTGGCACTTCAGCTGCCCCACCCCGCACATCTCCTGCCCTTTGCCTTGGAGCTACCCCTGCCTTCCCCCACTTACTGGGCAGGGAAGGAAGAGGAGGGGACGCTGACGTCAGGGTGCCTCTTCCACCCTGTAGTCTATCTCCACAGATTGAAGGGGATACAACATGGCCTGAGATGGAGGGAGTTTGCTGGCTCCTTTTGAGAGCTAACAAGAGCAGGGATGAGTTTGCCTTAGCCCTACTGCATCACCTGTGGTAAGCAGTGTCCAGCTCGAGCCTTCATCCTGAATCCCTGCTCCAGTCATAAACCTCCTCTTGCATCCCAATCCCTAAGCGCCCCCCGACCCAAAGTCCCTTACAAAACCTGTACCCTGAACCTCCTCCTTCACCCCAACTCCCTGCCCCAGGCTCAGATCAGAGCAACTCCAAATCCCTTAACCCAAGACCAGAGTCTGCACTCCAACCCTCCGCCCCTGCTTGATGAAAGGGAGAAAGGATGGGGCAGTGAGGGAGGAAAGAGCGAGCAGGGGTGGGGTCTTTGAGAAGGGGCACAAAGGAGGCAGGGCAAGGGTATTTGGATGTGAGGTAGATCCTGGATTGCACTTAAATTTAAAAAAGTGACCTTGTGCTTAAAAAGGTTTGAGATCACTGTTACGGCATTAGAGCTGAACTCTGCAAACACTTATGTGAGGAAGTAACATTAGTCTTCTGAATAGTCCCATAGAACGTAAAGAGGACTAAATACATGCATAAGAAATTTCATTCAGGTGAGTAACAGGAACCTACCATTAGCAACTCTGAATAGGATTTCCACAATCGTGATTTGAGGAAGTTTTTATGGCATAAAAATGGTCATACTAGGTCAGACTAAAGGTCCACCTAGCCCAGTATCCTGTCTGCCGACAGTGGCCAATACCAGATGCTTCAGAGGGAGTGAACAGAACAGGGAATCTTCACACAATCCCTCTCCCGTCACCCAGTCCCAGCCTACGACAGAGGCTAGGGACATCATTCCTACCCATACTGGCTAATAGCTATTAATGGACCTAACCTCCATGAATTTATTCTTTTTTGAACCCAGTTACAGTCTTGGCCTTCACAGTATCCTTTAGCAGGGAGTTCCACAGGTTGAGTGTATATTTTGTGAAGAAGTCCTTTTTGGTTTTCCTTATTATATTTTTACACTTAATTGACAGAAGTTCTGTTCCTTTCTGTTTTCCTCACAAGGATTTAACTTCCGCTTTTTTAAACAATGCCTTTTTATCTCTCACTGTTTCCTTTACTTGGTTGTTAAGCCACGGTTTCACTTTTTTGGTTCTCTTACAGGTACACTCCAAATTAAAAAACACAGTAAGTTGGGCCTCTATTATGGTGTCTTTGAAAAGTTTCCATGCAGCTTGCAGGGATTTTACTTTTGTTATTTTACCCTTTAATTTCTGTTTAACTAACCTCCTCATTTTGTATAGTTCCCCTTTCTGAAATTACATGCCACAGTGTTGGTCTACTGAGGTGTTTTTCCCACCACAGAGCTATTACATTTTATTACATTATGGTCACTATTTCCAAGCAGTCCAGTTATATTTACCCCTTGGACCAGATCCTGGACTCCACTTAGGACTCAATCAAGAATTGCCTTTCTCCTTGTGGATTCCAGAACCAGCTGCTCCAACAAGCAATTATTTAAGGTATCATTTAAGCAGTCATTTAAGGCACTTCCTTAAAACTCATTTTTAAACCATCTTGTGTTTTATTCTAACCAATAGCAGTTTTAAAATAAAGTTTTGCAATCAACATATACAATATTTAACATACATATTTTTATTATAAATCTAAGGCCTGGTCTACACTAGGACCTTAATCTGAATTTACTCCCCATGATTGATTATCTAATGCAGGAGCGGGGAACCTTTTTTGCGTGGGGTGCTGCTGACCCACAGAAGAATCAGTTGGGGGCTGCACACAGATGAGGTGCAAAATTTGATCCAATGCATCCACACTATCAAGCCTGTTATTCTGGAATAAGGGGCTGCGGAATTCAAACTCTGTAGTCCTGCTTTTCATGAGGAGTAACACTACTATTCTCGAACTTGTAAGTCCAAAATAACGTTAGTGTTGATGCTCTGGTGCCGCTAACTTGAACTAATTGGCCTCCAGAAAGCCTCCCACAGCTCCCCAAAGTACTTCCTTGGGCTCTGAGTCCGAGACAGAGTCCATTAATGTGAACACTCTATCTCTAGCTATGTTCAAATCTTCCCCATAGTGAGGACACAGAACTTGGAATTTGTAAAATCAGGTGCCCTGAAGTTGAACTTAGTAAATTCAAAATAATTGCCTAATGTAGATATAACCAAAATGAATGCTGATTTTAGAAAGATCCCCTGGAAATTCTTGTCGGTTTAAGTATTCAATAGATCTCCGCCCTCCAAAAAGTTTCTATTGGGACTTTAAAATAAATAAATATCCAAACTAATTTTAAAATTGTTTCTTGCCCCTATAATTGCAAGGAAACTTTCTAAACATGAACCAGGTGAAAACCAATGCAGACCACAGATAGTCCGAAACAACAGCTCTGATGGATGTGAACCGTACCATTCATTTCAATGGTTTAAGTCTGAAAATTCAAGATGACTATATAATATTTCAAAAACATTTTTATACTGTAGTATCACCCAAAATACTCCATTTGCAGGTTTAAAATGGGATAAATTTTTCTGCTCTTGAAAAGATTTAAAAAAAAACATTCTTTACATGTTTACCGTATTTTCCGGCGTATAAGATGACTTTTTATACTAAAAAACATCCCCCAAAAATCGGGGGTCGTCTTATACGCCGGGTATAAACATACTGTAGCTTCGGCTACATACAGAACGTCCCTGTGCTGATACTGTATGTACCGCGCTGAGCCAATCACGGCAAGCGGTGTCATCTATTAATGCATACAAAGCCTGCTCGGATTAATCCGAGCAGGCTTTGTATGCATTAATAGAATACACCGCTTGCCGGGATTGGCTCAGCGCGGTACATACAGTATCAGCACAGGGACGTTCTGTATGTAGCCGAAGCTACAGTACTGTATTAGGGCATATCCAGCAGGCTGGTGTTATTAAATGGTGTTGTCTCGGAAGGGGGGGTAGTCTTATATGGCGAGTATAGGCCAAAACCTATGTTTTAACTGGAAAATTAGGGGGTCGTCTTATACGCCCAGTCGCCTTATATGCCGGAAAATACGGTACATATAATTATTTGTATATATTATAAATGGAATGCTAGTATTGAGACACACCCCAAATCTTGAAGTGCTTACACTCTAGACAATTCTTAGCAAACCCTGTTAGAATCAAAATTTAGTTCTAGCTTTTCTCCCCATTTAAAAATAGAGCTAAATACAGGAGATTCTGGAAAACAATGGTTTAAAGCAGGGGTCTCCAAACTACGGCCCGGGGGCCGGATGCGGCCCGCGAGGCCCTCTCATCCGGCCCGTGGAGACCTTTTTGGATTCAAAGGCAGAAGAAGTGAGATTGTTTCAAAACCCATTTGAAGCAGATGTGGCCAGTTGCCAAGATGAATCGCAGCTGGTAGCCATTGAGTTGCAAGCAAATGACCTCCTTAGGGACAAGTTCAAAATAGGACTGGTGGGTTTTTACCAGTTTTTGCCCAAGGAAGACTTTCCTAATGTCAAAACTTTTGCATCAAGGTACCTTTCAATCTTTGGAACAACATACCTGTGTGAACAAACATTTTCAAGAATGAAATACGTGAAGAACAATTTGAGAACAAACTTGTCCGATGATAATCTCAGGTCACTGTTGATGTTAGGGACAACAAATCTAAAGCCAGAAATGTCTGCTATTTTGGCATCCAGGAAACAATTTCACCATTCACACTAATACAGGTGTTCATGTGTAGTGTATGAATGTGTTATTAAATAATAACTGAATAAAATAATATTAAATACATAATTAAAAACAACATCCATGTTTTGATTGTTTTTTATTTGGACCTCAAGTGTGTAGTCGGCCCCCGAACTGCTGTTTGATAGCTAATAGCCCTCGGGCTGAAAAGTTTGGAGACCCCTGGTTTAAAGAATACTTTTGAAGCAAGTTAAATAAGCTTGCATGACCTTTTTCCAGGCAGGTATTTGTACTGTGAAATGGTGACATCCAGTGGTTTGGTTGGTTAATTTCAAGTACTTATTTTCTCTACTTAGCGAGGCAGTCAATTTACCAAGAGAAAGGACAAAATTACACCCTTACAAAATTCATGTTGCCTATTTCCCCATATCCATTGCTTAAAATAATGTAAAACTAGAATTTTGCTTAAGATGCAGTACTGTTTTATATTTTAGTCCTGAATTCTATTTTCTGATGTATATTTTGAAGTCTTGACTTCAAAGCCAGCATCAGTAAATTGTTAAGATTAGAACTCTTGTAATGTACTAAAACTAGAATTCATTTTATTTTATTTTATAAAAATGCCTATGCCATTCTTAAGAAGGACTTTTTGAAGTTAATAGGAATCGTAGTTTCTCAGCACCTCTCCACATCAGACCCTGAACAATTGTGTTAACTGATACCTATACTGCCAATCATGTTAACACAGTGAAGTTACCATCTTGATTATATACACAACTTTTATAACATACATCTCATTAGTCTTTTACAGTTTTAGATTTTCTTCAGTTTCAGTATAACCATTTATTATGGTCTCTCACGTAGCTGTATTGTCCCTGAACTTACACAGAATAAACCAAAAGAACACGTGATCTAATTACCTTTCTTCTTCTCGCATCCACACTGGACTTTTGGGGATCTGAGCTTCAAAATATTTAGATGCTCTGTAACAAAAATTGCTGCAAAAACACTGGAAAATATATCAGAATCTTATTTTGGTTTAAAAGAATAAACTTCATTTACATTATTATTACTTAGATAGCAGAATGCACATTTGTAATGAAATCTATAGCCAGTAATGGGCTTCTACTAAACTAAACAAGAGCTTTAAAAAATTATCATGCAGAAAAACCTCAAAAAACAAAACAACCCCACCACATCCCCCCCCCCCCCACTGTACTTTTATTATGTATAAAGCACAAACACCGACCTTGGCAACAGTGTCCCCTCTAATTTTTTCCATTTATGTTCAGAATAAATTTTGTTATGCACATCAAGACAAGTGCAGATGTGTACCAGCAATAGAAACACTTGCTACTGGTTGTGGGTGGCTGTGGGCACCCTGCTAATCAGCTGGGCGGCAGATGAATCTCTCCTGAGTGGCCACCCAAGCTCTTAGTTATAGGGAACATTGCTTGGCAATACAAAAAACAGAGAACATAGACCTCTTGAAACAGAGGAAGGTATGGTTCTTGTCTCAAATAGCTTACTGCACAGTTTATAGACATGCACTACAATTCACATACAGAAGCCCTTTTTTTTTTTTTTTTTTTAAATATGGCAGCATTGAACTTTGAAGAAGCAGTTGGACATCAATGATAGGCTAAATCCGGCACTCTTTACAGTAGTAGTAAGACTGCTATCTAAAAGAGAACTGACAACTCACAGCTATGAAAGAAAAAAAAGTGTAAAATGTGGTTCATCAGATTCATAAATGTTCTGGCAAAAAGGGTGAAAAGCACAGAGCAAAATTTGCAGACGATACAAAAATTACTTAAAGCAGTTAAGCCCAAAACTGACTGCGAAGAGTTACAAAGGGAATCTCACAACAATGGGTGACCGGAAATCCAAAGGGCTGATGAACTCTATGTTGATAAGTGGAAAAATCACACACATTGGACAGCATAGTCCTATCTATATGTACAAAATTATAGGGTTTAAATAAGCTATTATTTATTACTCAAGAAAGATCTTGGAATCATCATGGATAGTTCTCTGAAAATATCCATTCAATGTGCCGCAGCAGTCAAAAAAGAGAACTAACAATTAGGAAAAAAATAGACAATAAAACAGAAAATATAATGCTACTATATATCCAGGTACATTTGTATACAGGTGACCCCTGACCTATGACCCCCTGCATTTATGACCATCTTGCTCTGGCAGCTGCCTCCACCCGGCACAGACCCCAGTCGGCTCTGGGAGGAGCTTGCACCATGCTGCCTTCCCCTGGGACAACCCCCGGCTGGCTCTGGGAACAGCTAGTGCCATGAACTACAACTCCCAGGAGGCAAAGTAGGCCAGGAACGGAACCCCCATTTTTATCACTGCACTTATGGGAAAAAAGGGTTCGACTTACAACAGTTCTCCAGGAACCAACTAGGTCGTAAGTGCGGGGGCTGCCTGTATTGTGTGTACATCTCGTCACCCCATCTCAAAAAGATATATTAGAATTGGAAAAGGTACAGAGAAGAACAACAAAAATGATTGGGGATATGCAACAGCTTCCCTAATAAGTAAGGGGGGCTTAAAATGACTGGGAATGTCCATCTGAGAAAAGAAACAACTAAGGGGGGTATATAACAGATATAGGTCTATACAATTATGAATGGTATGAAGAAAGTTAATAAGGAAGTGTTATTTATCCCTTCACATAACACAAGAACCAAGGGTCATCCAAAGAACTAATGGGCAGCAGGTTTAAAAAACAAACAAAAGGAAATATTTCTTCACACAATGCACAGTCAACCTGAGGAACCCATTGCTATGGGATAGCATAAATACCAAAATTATAATCAACTTCAAAAAGCATTGAATAAGTTAATGGAGGATAGGACTGTCAATAACTCTTACCCAAGATGATCAGGAACACAACCTCATGTTCCAGGTGTCCCTTAAACCTCAAACTGCCAAAAGCTGGGAGTGGCTGACAGGAGATGGATCATTAGAAATTCCCTGGTCTGTTCACTTCCTCTGAACCATCTGGCACTAGCTACTGTCAGAAAACAGCATTCTGAGCTAGATGGATTACTGCTCTGACCTAGTATGGCCATTATATATGGGAAGGAGACAGAGACAGAGACAGAGACAGAGACAGAGACAGAGACAGAGACAGAGACAGAGACAGAGAAAAGCTCAGATCTAAGAGAAAAGCTGGCATAGACAGATCCTGCTGGAAAATGCAAGGGATGCCTTTGATTCACTTTTGCAAATGGCTTATTAACTCAGTACCTAGTATAAGGGAGCAGTTGCCTAGAAATAGGTCTAAGCAGCAGGGTAATTAGGAATAGTCAAGCTGGGGAAGGGTTTAGGATACAATTTGTGCTATGCTGCTGTTAGTTAGATTTTTGTTGACAAAACCCCTATGTGATGGGGATGAACTTTGATCCTATGAAAACTATGTAGTCTTTAATTTGGGAGGAGGCTGAGAAAGCCACCTAGTCACACATGTATCTGTATTGGTGATTAAACAAGGTTTGGTAAGAAAGCTGTTCCAAAAATAAATGTAGGAGACTTAAGACAAACTTAGATACGTTAGAAGACTTTAAACCTTACCTTTCTTTCTGTAATATCATAAACTTTGTTTGTTTTTGTTGAAACTCTGTACTTCTGTTTAGGAACCTAAAAGAGAGATATTTTTACCAATGAGACCAAGATTATTCCTTTTAAGCCACATGATAAAAATTACAGTTACATATTCCAGTTACCTAATTTGTATTATGGATAAGCCAATGGGACTACCCTGCAAGAGTAACATTACTTATGTGTAACTAACTGTTGTACAAAATTCTGCAGGAGATCATGGACTTCTAGCTGTGAGTCCCCCAATCTAACCCCACATTGGTGGGGTGCCTATAAAGCTGTCCTACAAGGCACACCCTCTGATCATCACAGAGATGGCTCCACAGAACACATGAGAAAGTAACGTAGGAAATCTCTGGGGGGACAGTGGAAGGCCATGTACGATTTCCCTCTTTCTAACATATAAACCCAACCCAAGTAGAGAGCAGTGTTAGGAAAGGGGACAATAATGCTAAAGGTGTTGGACACTCCTCTTCACGTGCAACCACACAGAGAACATCCCCCATTCTGTATGAAGGTATTGGATGACACAACCTGATCATCTATCACCAGTATAATGGAAGTATTTCAACCAGGCAACAGAAACTGCATCTCAAAACCCCACCAAACTAGACTTTCTTGTAGGATATAAAGCATGAATTAGAGGTAATGATTATATGCAGTGTCCATCTTCATGAAATTAGCAGTATCTTAGATCTAGGAAATCTTGTGCTAATTAGAGCTTTTATTCTATGCAAATAAGAGTTTTAGAAATAAGCAAGACACGGGTCTTTCACTTTAGTTTTAGGAGAACATAGATTTTTTTTTCCTTTTCTGATCACATTTGCCATACTCAGATTACTAAATTGATACTATTGTAAAATTGAAGTCTAGTGACAACAGAGGCTAGTCCTAGTCTATATTGTGTTGCAAGATTTAATATACAGAGTAAACTCTAGAAACAAGTAGATCTAAATGTCAGAGTCAAAATACCAGTATAATGGAAATTTATTTACTTAAAAAGTGTCACATTCAGGGACTGTGGTCATTAATGTTATTTTTAAAATCTAGGAAGTGTTGTTTCTACTTTTAGCAGACGCATTACACAGATTTAACTAGTTACCTACTACACTGCAGACAGCATTACAACGCAGTTTATGTAAGGTCATTTCAGATTAAGAAGTTTCATTTATGCTTCTTGGGGCCTAGGAACACATATCTATAGCTCTGAGTCCCCCAACATAACCCCACAGTAGTGAGGCTCCTATGAAGTCATGCTGCCCAGACAAGTGACAAGGAGTTCTAAAACATATATATGGGGAAATACAGTCTTTAAACATAATCCTCTCTTTCCCATGGAGACAGAAGGCCAACAGCTGCCATGGGCCCCAGGGCAAGGTGTGTGGGTGGGTGGGGCAGCTCTGTGCCCCTGGAAGGGATGGGGCTACGGGTGTAAGAGGTAGGGCTAAGGGCAATCAGCTGTTAGTACTGCCCAGGTTGCAGCACGCACCCTTCCTCCCCCAAATTAGCCCTCTAAACTGCACAGAGTGGTATTCTGGCAGCAATTCAAAGGGGCCCAGAGCTTCGATCACTGCCACAGTAGCAGCAGCCAGGAGCTTTGGGCCTGGGACAACAGCCTCCTTCCCTCCCCTGTGGGTGGGCCTACATGGAGATATGTGCTTGCACTAAAAAGAAAGACCATTAGAATGGGAAATAAGCTTTTCGTATTGCACAGCTGGAGGTCATGAATCCATAGTGTTTAATCCATATTATTCTTTGTCAATTAACAAAGATGACAAAGGATTCAGTCATGTAGTACTGATAACTAAATGAGTAAATTCTTTTCCCTTGATTAGAAAGATTTGGGGAGGGGGAAAAGTGACAGATGTTACTTTACCTGGTGGAAGTATCATAGAATGATTCTTGCTCATGTGATTAGAATGAAGAAAGAATGGAAAAAGAAAGAAAGGCTTAAGAGCTCTTAACATCAAAATGCTAATTAAAAAGGAACTTACATTTTCTAGCCTATTTCGACATAAGGGATAGCCACATAGTTTGATGATAAAACGCTCCTCCACAGCATCCTTATAGTGAGATGGGGTAATACAATTTCCCTAAAATGATTAGAAAACAGTACATCAAGAGACTTATTTTAAAAGCATTCCCTATATCATCACTGTCAAAACTCAGAAGTACATGAATGCTTAAGCTTGTTCATAAAAAAATTAATAAACCCACTATTATTAAAAAGCAAAAGTTAAAAGATAAAAATGGCGATAGGGCGAGCACACACAGTAACAAAAGAAAGTATATACACAAGGTACTATGTAAATTATAAACATCTTATATTTTTACTTAGATAACTTTTACAAAGTTGAGTAAATGGCTAATATTTCCATTGGGTCTATACTAGGGGCGTTAAAATATAACCACTGAAAATTTCAGTGGTTGGTTACAGGATTACATGCAGGGGGTACTCCCCACACATACCGTATCAAAGGCATCAGTTCAGGAGGAGGCAGGCAGAAGATGGCTTTTAAGCCTGCTCCTCACGAGCACTGGTTCCCACCTGTCTGCTTCCACTCCATGCTACTATCTCTTTATCAGAGGCAGCAGCGCGGGAGAAGAAGGGGTGCAGGTGGCTCTGTGGGAGCCAGTACATGCAGGGAGTCAGCTTAAAAGTTGGCTCCTACCGTGCACCGATTCCTGATCCCTCCCCTCTGCATTGCTGCCTCTGATATTGAGGGGGGGGGGCTGCGTGTAACCACTTACACAATTACACTTTTACATACCTAGTTTATAGCTTAATTGACATGCTTTACATAGTACACATTATCAACCCTGTGACACTTTTTAAGTTTTCACATTTATACTATTGTTTAAGTGATGAATACCGAGTAAAATAACTGTGCTTATGTCCCTGGGCACGATTTACATTTTTTTCCCCCACAGAGCTTCACCTAGGCTAGGGCAACCACAACAGGGGTAGACTTTGCATTGTTCTAAAGAAGCCATGGGAAATCATATGGGGGTGGGGGACCCAAAAGGTGGTGGAATGGGGCCTTTACCAAAGCCCCTTCCCACAGAAGGTATGATCCTAACTTTTTATACCACACAATCTTGAATCCATAAACCTCTAATGGCAGCGGGATTAATTACCTAAGCCAGCAATACTCATCATGACCAAGGCTGGCAAAACTAAGTTTTTAAAAACAAGACATATATATTTTCACAGTGGAAATATTAAAAACAAAAAGAGACTGTATATTAGCACTGAAGAAAAAAACCCCTAGATAACTGAATGGTCATTATCCTAACAAATTTGTTACAAGAATGATAAAAACAACAACAGAAGAATGGCAATATTGGGTCAGACCAAAGGTCCATCTAGCTCAATATGAATTTTTTTAGACAGTGGCTATTACTAGATGCTTCAGAAGGAATGAAGAAACAGGAAGCCATCAAGTGATCTATTCCCTGTCATCCTTCCACAGTTTCTAGCAAACAGAAGTTAGGAACATAATTTAGCACAAGAACTTGCAAAAGAAAAACATACACAAGTGACAAGGAATTCTTCTGTTATATCTTCCTCCAAAAGCTGTTCAACAACATGCAGAGCTTTTTTCTCATATTCAATCTTCTTTCTAATAGTAGCCTCAAGTGCTGCTTTCCTAAAATAAAATAAATATTCTATTACATAGATAGCACTTTACTGTACACAATTCTTTCTTTCTATTATAGGAAGTGTAGTATTTTAATGATCTAATATGCATTTTGTTAGGGCAGTGTTTCTCCAAGTGGTCCACGGACTTACTCTGAGAAAGCTGCTACTGTGCCGCTCAGGTTTGTTTATTTATGGGCTCTGCAGCCACGTAGCCTGTGGCCCCCACTGGCTGTGGTTCACCATGTGTAGTCAAGGGGAAGTGTGGGAAGCACAGCCCAGGTCATGCTGCTTCCTGAAGCTCCCATTGGCTGCAATCGATGAACCGTAGCCAATGGGATCCATGAGGCTCTGTGGCTGCATAACTGGTAAATAAATAAACTGGAGCAGCCTGGTAGCAGCTTTCCCAGAGTGGGTCCGTAGACCACTTTGAGAAACTCTGTGCTATGGTGACCTCACACAGCAATGCATTCATTTATGCTAGAATTTTGTAGCAGCCAAGAACCATTAAGTGAGTTTTCCAAACCTGGTGTGGCATTCTGCTAAGTTCCTGGAGAAGTTTCAGACTGCTTGTGGGAGAAGCCCTGAACAATCTTCATTGGAGAACACAGTTCACTTGGGAAGTAATTACATCATTGCCACAGGATTAAAACTTTGAACCAATGTGCAAATAAATAAAGCACAAGATTGAGAAGTCAGCAACTTGCAAACATTTTCTCAAAAGTACCCCAGTTAGTAGATGAGATTTTTCTTTTAAGAGCAAAATTCTTCATGCCCTTAGGTAGAACAGTTGGGCTGCATCTAGACTGGCATGATTTCGCGGAAATACTTTTAACGGAAAAGTTTTTCTGTTAAAAGTATTTCCGCAAAAGAGCGTTTATATTGGCAAGTGCCTTTGTGCAAGAAAGCTCCGGCGGCCAAGAACACTTGTGCAAGAGGGCTTTTTCCCCGAGCGGGAGCGTCAGAGTTCTTGCGCAAGAACACTGACAATCTTACATTAGATCGTCAGTGTTCTTGTGCAAATTCTCGCGGCCAGTTTAGACAGCTGGCAAGATTTTGCGCAAAAGCAGCCACTTTTGCGCAAAATCTTGCCAGTCTAGATGCACCTTTGGGGATTGGGACCCAGGGTGGAAGGAAGCCTGAGAATACCATGGAACTAGCTGGACAAGAAGATTGGGACTGGGATGAAGAATTTAGGAGAATGATAAAAAGAACGGACAGACAGACCATTTGGAAGCAACTAGGACAGAAGAATACTTGTTCACCAAGCATAGCCCCTTCCAGAGACTGAAATGGAACCCTAACGCCCCATGTCTCGCCATCCCTCTGTCAGCAAATACCTGTGAAGCTCAATGGCACAGCATCCTTTCATTCTGCTCTAGTGTCTGAACCATGTTGAGGATGACAACACATACTGTTCCTACAAATTATTCCATAGTTCAAGAGACAGAAGTCTGTGCTATAAATCTGAAGGTTACAATTAGGGATGTAAAATCTTGGTTACAAAGTTAACCCATTAAACATTATGTTTAACCAATTAACCAGGATGCTTACCAGGTAACTGGTTAACCCTTTACATCCCTAGTTACAATCAGCCTTGGGTCTGGGGTTTGTTTGATTTTTTTAATAATCTCAATAGATAATATGAATGTGTATTTTGAGCATCTTCTCAATTTTTATAGATTTATATTTTCAGTTACAAAAAATGATGAACTTTAAAATGATGAACTTTAACATTTTTTTCTATTTTTATCTATTTTAATATTCACAATTGTGGGAAATTATGGAGGTTACACAAGATGGGGAGTAAGACAATAATTATTTAATGACAGCAGACAATCAAATTCAAAAGTTAAAATTTTGCAACCATTAAAACACAAACTGTGTATTTTGACATTGACAAAGTTGACATATCCTTACAGCAAACTCAAATAAGTGCTTAAACAGCATTTTTCTTATTTTGCCTAGCTGTAAATTTCAATTAGCATAAATGGAAATATGTTTGCTGTTTTGCACTGGTGAAATCAATGTTTATCAACTTTTACCAGTAAAAATCCAAGCCTAATTATAATCTTGCTGCTGGAAATTCTACTTGATGGAACTTTTTGTTTTTTCAGTTTGCTTTCTTTACAAAACTTAGGAAATTACACATAAAAAAGATGAGTAAAAAGAATGTTAAGGTTGAAAAGTCAAGCTCTCAAAAGTTAAGAAGGGCTAGGAGTGAGATTACCTATACACAACCTAATCACATGTTCCTCATTTTCTGGGTTACTAATTTGCAACTCTGCATAAGCACTGAATAGTCATAACTAGAACTGAAATCATTTTAAGCCATGCTTTGGACATAGATGGCACTAAATAATTCTAAGTACAGGCAGTCCCCGACTTACGCGGATCCGACTTATGTCGGATCCGCAGTTACGAACGGGGCTGCCCCAGAGTACACGGACTGCGGGACCTCGCGGTCCTGCCGCCCGTGTACTCTGGGGCTTTCTCTGCGTCTCCCTGGTCTGCAGACCAGGAAGATGCAGAGCAAAGCCGCGGAGGGGCTCGGACCAATGTAGACACTCCTTTTCCGGAAAAACTGAAAACGGAATAGTATTCTGTTTTAAGCAGTTCCGGAAATTCATGCCAGTGTAGACACAGCCTATGTGAATAACGGTATCTGGCCTGGATTGCACAGGAGGTCAGCCTAGGTGATCATTATGGTCCTGTCTGTTCTTAAAATCTGTTAGTTGACTAGAAAATGGTAAGGTGGCAAGTCTCTCAGAGGCTGGATGGAACGGTGCTGACTTGACGTGATGCTCTCCATTCATGTCTGTAAAAGAATGAACTTGTGCGTTATATATGGGTTCATTGTCACTTATCAAGCCGTCTGAGAGACCATAATGGCTGAGTATTGCCCTTTGCCGCTGGATAGCACATTCAGCAGTGGGCCTCACGCAGCTCCCCGGCTGCTTCTAGTGACTAATGTGGGCTTGCCACATTACTAACCATCTCTCCTACCTGCCTGTTGGCTTGAAAGTCTTGCTACCATGTGCACTTTTGTGGGTGTATTCAGTATTTGCAATCCCCTCGCAACAATGGCAAAAGCAATGGTGGTTTCCACATCTCTATAGTTGCAAGCAGCGACTTGGAGACCAGGGACTGTGTAAAACACTCATTCTCAGGGTATTGTGTAACACAGCTGTTAGCAAACTCCTCCTAAGAATGCCACAAACTGTGAAACCGCTTTTCCCTTCCATTCTTGGTTCTCTTCTTTGAATGCAGATTCTCTTGCCAATTACCAGCAATCTCAGAGTACAGCGTGACTAAGTTCTTGCCCAGTATCTGTACAGGCAGTCCCCGGGTTACGTACAAGATAGGGACTGTAGGTTTGTTCTTAAGTTGAATCTGTATGTAAGTCGGAACTGGTGTCCAGACTGATCAGTTTCAGCAGCGGCTGAATCTGGACGCCAGTTCCGACTTACATACAGATTCAACTTAAGAACAAACCTACAGTCCCTATCTTGTACGTAACCCGGGGACTGCCTGTACTCTAAAAATGGGCAAATTCGTGGACACTTTTGTACGGCCCATGCCTCATTTTCCCCTTCTCAAAAATAGAGAAAATAAAACCTTCTGTGAGCTGAGGGGTGTTGTGAAAATAAATTGTTTGTGAAATACTCAGATACTTCAGTGATTATCATCACAGAAAAGCCCATAAGGAAGTTAAATTTTTCTCTGATTACAGAATTTTTAAGTAACAAGCAATAAATAAGACATAAAACAACACACCAATGGGAAGAAAACAAAATAGTTAACCATTCCTCATTGTGTGAGTACTGTCTTGCCTCATTCAGTGCACAGTCCTGTGGCAACAGTAAGTAATCATGTAATTAAAGGTTGCATTGTAATCATTAGGGATGTTGAGTGTAAACGATAAACCATTTAACCAATAAGTGGATACCTATCCGTTATTGGTGTCCATCACACTAAGCAAGCCGCCTCCCTGAGAATCAGGGAAGCAAGAGGTGCCCACTCCACTCCTGGGGAGGAGACTTTGCTGCCAGCTACATTCCCAGAGAGGAGGCTTTGCTGCGGACTCTGCAGCATAAAGCTAAGGTTTATAATGAGGGTCACCGTGTATCCCGCAGTGGACAAGATAGTGTCTGCGGGTTGGATCCAGTGTCTGCGGGCTGGATCCAGTCCATCAAGCCATTTGATCTGGCTCGTGGCCGCCCTGCCGCTCCCCCGTTCCAGGCCAAGCAAGACCTGGGGATGGGGGAAGGGCACGTGGTGCCTAGAAAGACCCACCAGCTGTTCAAACTGTGATTGGCCTAGAAACAGAGGGAATGTGCAAAATTTCCTCCTGCAGCCAGAGGGGTGTGGCAAAGACTTCATGTTCTCCCTCCACCCCTTCAGTGTCTGTGGTCAGAACTGGTGAAGTCTCCTGGCCCCGCTCCTTCTGGGCTGACCCACGACCACTTCCAAAATTCATCAAGTTCTTCCCCTGGCTCACCTCAAAAATTACTGCCCATCCCTGGTGTAACTGCTGAGATTTTCAGCGGTTAAATGATTACCCTATTACACAATTTTTAGCATCCCTAGAAATCATATATCCACAGAGGCCAAATCAAGGTTGCCCAGACAACCCTAACACTGGCATTTCCTAACTCCTGAATGCTTGACTTAGCAATCTCAGCGCACTTAAATTTGTGTGCGTAACTAATCGTTACCTTAGGATAACATGGATATATGATAGCCTGACAAATTTGTCCTGAGTTATTTAAATCATTTTACAGAACTGAACAGCAGACAAACTTGCTAGATATGATTAGAATACTGGGTATTTCCTATAGACAGTTATTGAAATTCCTCAAAACAGTTACCATACCTTTGTGCTGCATCTTCATTTTTCAAAATACTTGATTGTTTATTTCCTAATAAAATATATAAATCAACCTTTTAACTTTCAAAATAACATCCATTTCTGTCTAATATTTCCATATATAAATGCCATTAAACATTAAGTCTCAGAAGTATTTGCACACAAACCGTACCATACACACTATTAAGACACGCAACTACTTGAAAAATCTATGCTTTTGGAGGGGTCTAAATAGAAAGCCTCCAGCGGTTTTTAGCTAAATATTCAGCAGTAAGACCAAATAAGTCAGCACAATACCTACTAATGAACCACAGGACAGGGCGGAATAAATCATTTTATTCCTTTACATTGTCCCTCCCCCTCAAAGAAAAAAGTTTAGGAGACACTCTCAATTGGGGATGCTGGTGTGTCATTTCTTCTTGAAGATTTTGTATCAACTGTTTTTCCTAGAGTTCCCCCCCCCCAATGTTTTGCACCCTTGTAGCGCCAATGGTGATAGCAAGCGTGGAAATGCTAATGTTTACAAGGCACTGTTTTTCCTGCTCCTCTGTTGGCTGAAATCTGCTCTGAGCAGGTGAAATAACACTTCCTCCAATACTGTCTTCAGAACTCGGCTGCGGGAAAGCAGTGGCTGCTGGCCAGGAGCTCCACCATCAAGATAGTGCTGCCTCCAGCTTCAACAGAGAAGTAAGGATATCTTGGCATGGTTTGCACTGTTGCATTCAGAGCTAGGCCCTTGGTCAGCAGCCACCATTTTCTGGCTGCCCAGATCAGAAGGGTGCAGCACAGGAGTAGGGGTACCCTATTCTGTGCTACTGCTGGTGGGGCACTGCCTTCGGGGATGGGTGTCCGACCAGCAGCCACAGCTCTCCAGCCACTCAACTCTGAAGGCAGCAGTGAAGTAAAGGGTGGCAATACCAAAATCCCCCAGTCAATTACTTTGTCCCCCACCCATCCATCCATTTTTGGATCACAACCCTCAGATTGAGAAAGGCTGGCCTCTCCCTGGAAATCTGTGTAGTGGTGGTCACCAACCGATCGATTGCAATCAACTGGTGAATCCTGGGGAGTCTCCCAATTAATTACGATCAGCAAGCTTCCTGTTTACCCCGTCACCAGCCTGTTCCCAAAACTGGCAAGCATGGTCCTGTGTGTGAGGAGGGATAGGGAGGCAAGAGTCTCAGCATGCTACTCCTGCCGCCTGCATGCACTGCTTCAACTGGCCAGAAAAAGGGAACTATTGCATTAGCAGAGGGACAGCACACAGAGCCACGTGCTACCCACCCCCAAAAGTGTTCCCTGTAATCTGAGTGCTTGGGCAGTTGCCCAGGAGATTCAAATGCTGCTCCACTGATTAGCAGAGTGCCCACAGATGGTAGCATGTTTCTACTGGTGGTTCACAAACTCACATTCCTCAGGGTACATCATAACATTTATTTCACACACAGAAAAAATTAGTGTGAACATTGGCCCCCACCTCTGGGCGACAGGGGCACTTTGACCCCTCCCAGGAGTGCTGTGGACCCAGGACAAGCAGGGAGCCTGCCTTAGCCTCACTGTGCTGCTGCTTGGGACAATGACAAGTGCTGCCTGGTGGCAGGCCACATGCCAACCCCCAAACTCTTCCTGCACATCCCAAATCCTCTGCCCCAACCTGACCCTCCTTCCAGAGACAGCATCCCATATCTCCTGAATCACAGAACCATAGAGCTGGAAGAGACCTCAGAAGGTCATCAAGTCCAGCCCCCTGCTCTAGGAAGGACCAATCCCAACTAAATCACCCCAGCCAGGGCTTTGTCAAGCCGAGACTTAAACACCTCTAGGGATGGAGACTCCACTACTTCCCTAGGTAACCCATTCCAGGGCTTCACTACCCTCCTAGTGAAATAGTTTTTCCTAATATCCACCCTGGACTTCTCCCACCACAACTTGAGACCATTGCTCCTTGTTCTGCCATCTGTCACTACTGAGAACAGCCTCTCTCCATCCTCTTTGGAACCTCCCTCCAGGAAGTTGAAGGCTGCTATCAAATCCCCCCTCACTCTTCGCTTCTGCAGACTAAACAGATCCAACTCCCTCAGCCTCTCCTCTTAAGTCATATGCTCCAGCCCCCTTATCATTTTGGTTGCCCTCCGCTGGACCCTCTCCAGGGCGTCCACATCCTTTTTGTAGTGTGGAGGCCCCAGAACTGGACACAATACTCCAGATGTGGCCTCACCAAAGCCGAATAAAGGGGAATAATGACATCTCTGGATCTGCTGGCAATGTTCCTCTTAATGCAATCTAATATGCCAATAGCCTTCTTGGCTACAAGGGCACACTGTTGACTCATATCTAGCTTCTCATCCACTGTAACCCCCAGGTCCTTTTCTGCAGAACTACTACTTAACGGGCTGGTCCCCAGCTTGTAACTATGCTTGGGATTCTTCCGTCCCAAGTGCAGGACTCTGCACTTGTCCTTGTTGAACCTCATCAGATTTCTTGTGGCCCAATCCTTCAATTTGTCTAAGTAACTCTGGACCCTATCTCTGCCCTCAAGCGTATCTACCTCTCCCCCTAGCTTAGTGTCATCCACAAACTTGCTGAGGGTGCAATCCATCCCTTCATCCAGGTCATTAATAAAGATATTGAACAAAATCGGTCCTAGAACTGAACTTTGGGCCACTCCGCTAGAAACCGACTGCCATCCTGCCATCTAGCCATTGATCACTCCCCGCTGGGCCCAGCCTTCTAGCCATCTTTCTATGCATCTTACTGTCCATTTGTCCAATCCACATTCTCTTAACTTGCTGGCAAGAATATTGTGGGCGACCGTATCAAAAGCCTTGCTAAAGTCAAGGAATATCACATCCACTGACTTTCCCATGTCCACCGAGCCAGTTACCTCATCATAGAAGCTGATCAGATTGGTCAGGTACGACTTACCCTTTGTGAACCCTTGATGACTATTCCTAATCACTTTCCTCTCTTCCAAGTGCCTCAGATCCCAAACACCTCCTGCACTCCAAGCCTCAGCCCTGAGCTCCCTCCCAGGGCCAGCACCCCATCTCTCCTCCTGCACCCTCCAACCATCTCCTGTACCCCAAGCACCTGGCTCCAGCCCTGCCCCCTCTCCCAGAGCCAGAGCCCATACGCCTCCTGTACCCTGAATCCCTCCCAGCTCTGAGCCCGCTCCCAGAGCCAGCACCTACAACACCCTGACCCCTCTCAGAGCCAGCACCCCAACACTGTCCCAGCCCAGAGCCCCCTCCCAAGCTTGCAGCTGAACCCCGTCTTGCACACCAGCGCCCTGCCCTAAGCTGGAATACCCCGGCCTAGGAATGGGCCCGCTGCTCATTCCGCTTACGCATGGTGCCGGCTCTGCTTCCCCCTCCGGCTACCCCAGCAATGCTCCAAACGGGGGGCGGAGGGGCGCACAACACGGCTACCTGCCCAGCACTACTCCCGTCCCCCTCCCCGGCTGGGACGATTGGGTCAGTCCCCTGCGTTGGGGTGGGGAGGACGAGCCCACTAGGC